TTGGAAAGCGAAGGCAGGGAGTTGATACTGGATCTTGTCAGATACGTATGCTCTATGCCACAAAGGTTCTCATATGCCTACTTACGAGAATGAAGCCGCTGGCGCGATAAAGACTTCCAGGTTCTCTCGCACCCTGCCCAGCAGCCTCGCGGTGAGGCTCTTGGTGCTGTGGTGGACCAGCCGACTCATGTCGAGCCGGCGCACGAGGCTGCCCAGGTTGGTCCTGCTCTTGGGCGCCCGCACAGGGGGACAGACCACGGCCGTGAACTTCTCGAAGCTCTTGCCTCCGCCCAGCCGCGGTCGTTCGTAGAGAAAAGGCACGGCCGCCGAGTACCACTGCCGCGACACCAAGCAGCAGCGATACAGCGTTTCTTGGCGGGCGTCCAGATCGCCATCCTGGGCGACGGCAGAGACGATCTGGATGACGATCTCCGTGGGTAGGAAGACCTCAGAGGGAGCCTGTGGCCTGGCAGATATGATTTTCATGGCTCCTCCATCATAGGCCCGCCAGATGTCCAGCTGTCTGCGGAGGACGTCCAGCGCGAGATGATGTCAATGCCGATGTCCTTCGGCTGCTTGGCCGGCGGCGTGATAAGCTAAGCACGGCGGGTTCTCCACTCGACCCTCCGACTCCGACGCGGAGACCGACGTTGATTACTGCAATTGCCTTGAGTCAATCCTCACGTTGGAAGACCAATTCCACGTCTCAGCCTGCACAGATCGGCTCTCAGCATGAGGCCGCAGGCGCTTCTGCGGCCGGTTCGGCCGCTGCGTGCCCACGCCCGCTCGCATCTCCGAGCCCCTTCTCCAGCCTTCTGCTATCAGAGATGTTTCCAGACCACTGCAGCAGCCCGAACACAAGTGCCTGACATTGCTTTCGCTTTTGAGTAAGTTCTCGCTGTGCCTTTGTTATTATCAGTCTAATTCTGATGAGGCAGTATCGATGGTGTCCTCCTCCGATCCTCGAAACCCATTCCCGGCGCTGCGGACGCACTCCGCACTCTGCAAGAACGCGGCATTCCCTTCATCCTGCTCACCAATGGCGGCGGAAAGCACGAGACGGAGCGAGTGGCAGAGATCAGCGAGAAGCTGAACGTCCCATTGGACCCTAGCGTGATCGTCCAGAGCCACTCTCCGTTTGCCGAGCTGGTTAAAGGAACGGATGGGCAGAGCGCGCTGGAGGACAAATGCGTCATGGTGGTTGGCGGTGACGGCGATGCTTGCCGCAAGGTGGCAGAGAGGTATGGATTTGTTGGTCTGTTGGGTGGTCTGGATCTGGATTACATGGTTGACATACCTCCAGGTACGGGTTTAAGACCGTGATCACGCCCGGCGACATCTTCCACGCCTATCCCTCCATCTGGCCGTTCTCGCGAGTCTTTAAGGATTACTACAAAAACTTTGCGAGGCCTCTTCCGAAGCCAATCGACCCTTCAAATCCGTCCGAGAGCCTCAAGATCGACGCCGTGTTCGTTTTCAACGACCCTCGAGACTGGGCTCTTGATGTCCAGATTATCATCGATGTTCTGCTGTCGTCGCAAGGTATCCTAGGGACCATTTCGGAAAAGAACGGGCGAGCGGATCTTCCCAATCGCGGCTACCAGCAGGATGGGCAGCCGCCGCTGTACTTTTCCAACCCGGATCTGTGGTGGGCTGCCGCGTACCATCTCCCGCGTCTTGGACAAGGTGGTTTCCGGGAAGCTCTCGAAGGTGTTTGGGCTGCGACAACCGGCGGGCCGAGCAAAGGCGTCGTGCTGCAGAAGACCATCATCGGCAAGCCGTACGAACACACCTACGCATTCGCCGAGAGGCAGCTGCTGCGGAACCGCTCGCGAATGTTCCAGTCGGACAACCTGCCCCCAATCCGTCGCGTCTACATGGTGGGCGACAACCCGGAATCGGACATTCGCGGCGCGAACTCGTACCGGAGCAAGCACGGCAGCGACTGGCACTCGATCCTGGTTCGAACGGGAGTGTACAACGGCGGAGAGCCGGCGTGGACTCCGAGGACGATTGTCGATAATGTGCTGAAGGCTGTTGAGTGGGGTTTGAAGGAGAAATAGGCAATTATTGGAGCCTAAGAGGACGCTTTAACCGGACTTTTGCATGTGCAACAGCCTCAGTACGAGCACATACATTCGATGAAGTGAGTCGACTCGCGCTTCTGGACAACGTCGCCATTTATATAGCATTGACTGAGGCGACTAGCCAAACAACGAAGCGTGGCCTGCGTTGAGATTTGTATTGGATTTGCTAGAGGGTAACTACTGGCAACTTTCTCCCTGTACAGGTAGACACAGAATATAAATGAATAAATAAATGTAACATATCCAATTAATCTACTAGTCTCTGTATACCGAGGCTACTACCTATCCTCTCACTTCCAGGGCTCCAGGTTCTATAGCTACCTACTGTATAGAGTGACGTCCCATTTGGGAAAGCGGGTAACCATCCGCTCGTACAAAAACGCGATCTGATTGGACAAGAGAAATGATCAGAAGCATTGCGTTCTGAATCATCTCAGGCAGGCTCATTGTCATACTTAGCTGAATTGGGAGTTGAGATAGAATCCTGTTTTTTGGATCAGACATTTCAACCTCAAGATGGGAGATACGACTTCTTGTTCAATGTCGATGGGATCTCTCATCACGTGATAGTATTGCATCCCGAATAGAAATTGCCTAGGGCTTAGGGCTGTGCTTGGAGGGGTTACTCATCCCGCCGGCGGGGATGGATGACTCGTTCAGACTTTGCGATCATACGTTACAGACGTCTCTCTCTCCGGTTCAAACCAGAACCCTTAATTTTTCTTCCCTGCCATTGTTGGAGGTCCATTGAGGTACCTCTGACACCTCTCTTACTCAGTTTCTTGGTCTTTTGTTTTTTCTTGACTTAGTGTTACGACAGCAGCACCATGGCCGACTCCAGTTTACCCCACCGTCCCAAACCCGAAGAGACGCCTTCGCCTGCAGAGGGAGCGCCAGCCGCTACAGCAGCTCCCGAAGGTGCTCCTGCGCCCAGCAAGAATGCCTTGAAGAAAGCTGCAAAGGAAAAGGCCAAGGCTGAGAAGGCCGCCCAGCGCGCCGCCCAGGAAAAAGCCCAGCAGGCGGCCCAAGACGCCGTCGACACCGCCAAGGGACTGTACGGTCGATTGCCCGACTCCGAGGACCTGGCGCCCGTGACGAATTTCTCCCAGCTGTCGGGAGATCTCTACGAGAAGGAAGTGACGGTCGTCGCCCGCGTCGATAACGCGCGGCAGCAGAGTGCCAAGCTGGCGTTCTTGATGCTGAGACAGCAAGGGAAGAAGGTGCAGGCGGTCATTGCGGCGGCGGAGCCGATTTCGAGGCAGATGGTCAAATGGGCCGGCGGTATCAACGTCAATTCCATCGTCCAGGTCACCGGCATCGTGAAGAAACCCAACGTTCCGATCGTCTCCGCAACCCTGAGCGAGCTCGAGATCCACATCCGCAAGATCTACCTCATCGCCGAGGCAGCCCAGCAACTGCCGATGCAGGTCAAGGATGCGGAGAGACCCCCGCCCCTCAGCGATATCGTTGAGGACGGCACTCAGGTTGACGCCGAGGGTGCTCCTATCGTCACGTTGAAAACCCGCCTGGACAACCGCGTCCTCGATCTGCAGACCGAAACCAGCCAGGCCATCACATGGATATCGAGCGGCGTTGCGGAATTGTTTACTGAGTACATGCTGAAGAGCGGCGCGCGGTGGATCTTTACGTCCAAGCTGACTGGGTCCTCGTCCGAAGGAGGCAGCGAGGTTTTTGAAATCAAGTACTTCAAGAGGAAGGCCTACCTGGCTCAGAGTCCTCAGCTCTACAAGCAGATGTGTATTGCCGGTGATATGGAGAGTGTCTTTGAAGTCGGCCCCGTCTTCCGGGCAGAAGACAGCAACACCCACAGGCATCTGACGGAGGTATGGTGATATCCCTGCGCAGTTTGTAGTTCGTATATTGACAGAAAGCCGCCTAGTTCACCGGTCTCGACTTCGAGAAGACATTCCGTCACCACTACCACGAAGTTCTGGAATTTGCCGAGCAGCTTCTTGTGTTCATCCTGACTCAGCTGAAAGAACGCTACAAGGACCAGATTGCCATTATTCAGAAGTCGTATCCCAAGGCTGGTGACTTTAAACTTCCCAAGGATGGCAAAGCTCTTCGATTGAAGTACATGGACGCCATTGCGCTGCTGAAGGAGGCCGGCGTCGACGTGTCCGAGCAGGAACGATTCGAAAACGACCTGACCACTGCGATGGAGAAGCAGCTGGGGCAGATCATCCGGGAGAAGTACGACACCGATTTCTATGTGCTCGACAAGTTCCCGATGGCTGTTCGGCCGTTCTACACCAAGGCGGATCCCGAGGACCCGCGATTCTCGAACTCGTATGACTTTTTCATGCGTGGAGAGGAAATCATGTCTGGCGCTCAGCGAATCAACGACGCGAAAGAGCTAGAAGAGAGCATGATCGCCAAGGGAGTTGACCCGAAGTCGGAGGGCTTTGAGGACTATCTGGCAGCTTTCCGTCAGGGCTGCCCGCCTCACGCAGGCGGTGGTTTGGGTTTGAACCGTATCGTCCAGTTCTTCCTGGGGCTGCCTAACATTAGACTGGCGACCTTGTTCCCTCGTGACCCGCAGCGCTTGCGGCCTTAAGTGTACTTATGTCATGTAGTTGATGGTTATGATTTGTTAAATGCGATTAGGAGAAAGAAGACTGTGTTATGAGAAATCTGCATATAGCAATGTCCTAACGGAAGCGATTTCATGCGTAAAGTTGTAATCCGTAGATGTAGATATGTATTTGGCGGACTGTAAGTTCAAAGTCTGGAACCTATCGAAAGTACTCCGTGCAGGTGGCCCGAGCTCCGAGATATGCTTCTCCGCCACAAACAACATTGATCAATGATTACTGAATCTCCAGCTTCCCGAGAGATTCCCGGCGTCATCCCCCCATTCAATTTTGAAAAAGGCAGAAATGCCTGAAAAGCGCAAAACCCCCTCGTCATCGGATCCCGGAAACGACTCGCCGTATGCCAAGAGGTCGCGCCCGCAGACCCTCTACGCCGATGCCGCTGCCGCTGTCGATGATGTCGATGCAGATGTCGATGGGGATGACGATGACCAAGAAGAAGGAGTAGGAGTAGGAGGAAGAGGAGGAGGAGGGCTGCTAGCGTCGAGCTTGAAGTATGCTCGCGTGCGCCCTCGCAGCGACCCTGTCTACGGCCAGAAGAGCGCGTTTCCGGGCCTGGACGATGCGAATGCTGCGGATGAGCTGTTCTATGGGCCGGCGGAAGATGGGTTGGAGTATCTTCGAATGGTTCGGTAAGTTTTTATACCACCTTGTCACGACTCTTTGCTTTACTATTGTTTTTTTTTCTTGCTCTCTCAGCTGCTGATATCAAGGACGGACGGTTTTCCTAATACTTTGATTTATTTATTTAGATCGGAGGCCAATTCTCTGCCTACTCTGTTCGTTGCGCCGAAACCTACGACTACAGAGGCTGCCATTTCTAAGGAGGTAGCTAGAACAGGCGGCGGTGCCGCCGACGAGGAGGGGGAGTTGCAAAGGGAAGAACAAGAACCGAGTGGTTATTATCACGATGGAGTCTACATGGCCGGGATACCGGGAGGAGAAGAGGTCGACGACGAAGAAGACGAAGGAGGGGGAGAGGTAGAAGGCGAAGAAGAGGAGGATGCGCAAGCGTCCTACTACAACCTCCTGCGGCATCGGTTCCTCCTCCTCCGGTCTACCCTGAGATGCTCGCCACCGGCTTCCGCGATCGCCGCCCTCGACGATTCCCACCCGATCAGTCTGCCGTATAGCGTGAAGTCGGCGCGCTCGGAGTGGCGCCGTCTCCTGATCACGACCGATCCGCAGATGGTGCAGCTGGCCTGCATGGACATGAACAGCGTGTTTGGCGCGCTCAAGATCGTGGCGCGAATGCTGTCAGATAGTGTCAAAACGAGGGATGCGATGAGGATACGGAGGATTGGGGCGTGGGCTTGGGGGTTGTTGGGGCGATGTCGCGACGTGGGGCAGCTGGCAAGCGAGGAAGTCAGCGAACTTCGTGACCTCGGGAAGCGGGCTGTCAAGATATTGTCGAAGCTGAGAGAAGAGGAGAGCGCGAAGAGGGTTGGTGATGATCGTGATGAGCATCGCCGGGGAGAAGGGGATTCTGACTCTGACGAGGGACAGACAAGAGTCCAGGCCGAGAAAGAGACCGGAGTCGTCAGGGAACCACCTTCCGACAGCATCTCTCCTCAAGCCGATCAACAGCCGGTAGTAGAGACGACAGAAGCGACGCAAACGTCTCACAATTCATCGTCCGCTCCCGCTGCAGAATCAACAGCACCAGCATCAGAGCAACCAGAAGGCGCAGACGCAGACGCAGACCTAGAAGCAGCAAAGGCCCGACTCCAAGCGCGACTGCTCCAGGTGAGCCCAACAACAGAGGACTCGCGAGAGAAATCGACCTCTTTTTCCGTCGAAGGAGAAGAAGAAGATGAGAGACAGTCCAGAGCATCCAAATCTAGTCTCGACCTCGACGACGCCGCTAAACACACGCGCGCAATGCTCGACATGATCATCACCATTGTGGGCGAGTTCTACGGGCAGCGCGATCTTTTAGATGCGCGGGATGTATGGTGATGAGGAGAACATTTTTCTTTCTCCCTTTCTTGTCTTCTTTCTATCAAGTCTCGACGGACGGACGTACGGACGGAAGTTTGCTAGCTAGCTAGCTGGCTGGCTGGCTGGCTGGCTGGCTGGTTATGTACTGTATGTACTCTTTGACTGACTGATTCACTAATATTTTTCTTCTTTTTTCTTTCTTCTTTCTGTGCTGGGACATGAATGTGGACGGATATCTGTAAGATAGATCGTCGATTGATTGATCATTATCCGAAGAATAAGATACCCACTACTTTTATTGAATCGAATTGTCTCTTTTGAGTAAAGAGAAGCTATCATCCTAGCTACCTAGCTAGGAATAAGACAAGAATTGGGTGAAGAAATAGGTAGATAGGGATATAGATGTGTATGTATAGATGTATGTATGTATGTACGGTAGTAATAGTCTTTAAAGGCATCTATCTATCACCCAAAAAAAAAAGGTTATCTATCACATCTGTAATCCATCTACAATTAAGTAAGTATTATTTATATCATGTTCATTCATTCATCATAATCAACACACGGACCGAAGTCAAGTGTAGCGAAGCGAATGAAAATCACCCCAGGACCCCATCCTCCACCTGACTCCTCCAGATCACCCGCCGCGTGCAATCGTCCTTCACCCACTCCTCGATCCGTGCCGCGGTGTCCCCGACCAGTCGCTCGTAGTAGCTGCCGTTCGGGAGGAACATGGACTGGTGCGCGACGACCTCGTCGATCCCCTCCATGAAAACTCGCTCCCAGAGGGGGTCGCTTTCGACTGCGGGAGGGAGGGCGCAGAATTTGCGGTCTTTTTTTGAAGGTTTCTGTTTTGGGCTCTGCTTCTGCTGCGGTCGGGGAGGAAGAGGTGGAGGTGGTGGAGGTGGTGGTGCAGAAGGCTGTGGGGAGGAGGAGAGGATGGCAGTGTCGTGGTCTTCTGATCCTCGTCCGGTGGTGGTAGTATTATTTGTGAGAAGAGAAATGTTGGAATTATTCAAGTCTCGGGAACTAGGTGGTCGCTCATCTATCGAGGATGAGGATGAGGATGTTTCCTCCTCCTCCTGGACGATGACGACAATATCACTGTCCTTATTGTTTGCGCTTGCCTTTTCGCCCTGCTTTGCTGCTGCTGCTTTCTTCTGTTCTTGAAGCTGTTTCTTGGCAGCCGCCTTTGCCAGTTTTCGGGCAAGTTCCTCGCGATCCTTGATTGCTTTGTCACGGTCCTTTTTTGCCCGCTCGTACGCTTTGACTAGTCGTGAATGCTCCTTCTGCGCCAGCTTCAACGTGTCTTTGTCATGGTACCGAGATGGGTCGAACGCTGATGGCTCGTCTGGGAGAGGAGGTAGAGGTGGTAGTGACTCAATGGCAGCGGTCGGATTGTTCTCGTGCGGGTTAACGTCGTCTTCTAATGTCGGAATATGCGGGTTTTCCGACTCTTCTGACTGAGCGCCGCTTGCGTCGTATCCGTCCAGGTCATGCTTTGATCCTTCCTGTGGACCCTCCACGTAGGGTCGTGGACTTGACTGCCGTGATCGAGCTTGTTCGTTGATTATTTCTTTCCCGACGGAGGTTCCCGAGATCGACCGTGTTTGCTGGGTGTCCGATTCTGGCACCCTCATAGGAGAAGGCGACCGCGACTTGATCCGGCCCGTGCTTGCAGTGTAATAATTGACGAATCTGATCCGCCGCAGCAATCGGCCCTGCGCATCTCGCTTGCGCTCGAGTTCGTTCACCGCTTCGAGTTCTCGAAGTCTTCGGTACCGACTGTGGAGGCCAGCGTAGTCAAGAAGACAGCCTCCGAATTCGAAATACGACTTGAAATAATCCTGAATCGCACTGGCTAGATGGTCTGAGTTTTTCTTGATAAAATGCAGCGCGCCATCCAGCTGACCTCGCCGTGCTAGATGGACGTCGTTGGGGAAGGCAGGGTCAAAATGGGGATCGTTGGAAGGCACAGCGAAGGGGTCAGAACATGGGTGATCGTCCAAATCGATTGAACCCAGTCTGCTGGATACGGTCTCTGACGGATTTGCTGGTGGAGAAGGATCTCGTTTTCTTTGAGGACTCGGTGAATTCTTGCGCTTGGGATGGAGCAAGTTCCCAATGCCTGTGCTGATTACCCTTGGGTGGAGTCCCAGAAATGGCACGTCGAAATTGATGAGTCCCAGGATACGATGCTCGAAGATCTCCTTGCTCCCAGGGGCTGATGGGAGCAGCGCAACCTCTGCGGCTAGGATCCCACCCAGGCTGTGGCCGAGTAGGATCACATCTGTATCTTCCGACTCATGCGGTGATAGCCTATTCGACACTTAGTATCATGCGTTTCTTTCTAGGATGATCTCTAAAGAGAGATATGCCAGTCTGCAAACGCACCATCGACTGAAATCATCACGTGCAATGTCCATTGCTCGGCGGGATTTGTATCGAGGATATACCTTCGAATACACAACGTGCGACTCGGCCAGAGCAATGGTGACAAGGTTATGGACATGAGCAGGGAACTTGTGGAAGCTCGCTTCTTCACCCATGAAGCCATGGATATAGATCAAGAGCAACTTTCGTCTCCCGTCTATATTGACGCTCTCCGACGGACCCAGAGACAACGTCGACGAGGAGCCGACGTATGAACCACCCCATCGCGAGTAGACTCCCCGGGACTGCGTATTCTGATCACCTACAGTATAGGCAGACGTTGTCGACAGTAGAGATGGGGCCAGGTGAGACGTATCTTGGCTGACAGTCGAATCACGGGACATTGATCTTGGTGAGGATGGTCATGTAAGAACGGCAGACTCGATTGAGACCATGTATTCAACGACATGTCACAAAGGACTCATGATTGGATCGACCTGTAGATAACTCTGCATACGAGTTTTGGATTGTGGATAGACGCGGGGACGGACCGCCAGTATATCTTTCGTTCTAATTTTAGCTCCCATCAACCGTAACCAGGCCGTGCGCAGGTTGGATCTAGTGACCTCCAAGGGCGGGTCGCACGGCTATATGATAAGTTTGACAACCCCATTTTTAGCTAGGGTAATAGATTAATTAGGCCTTCCCCTAGTACGGTGTAGTTTTTCGGCAATCGTGCGATTCGTGCTGCCTGGAGTCGCGATGGTGGAGTCGAGTCTTGACAAGAAGAAGCTAAGCCACAGATCGGCGGTGGCAGAAGAAGATGGGGCGCCTGCGTCATTGCGGGAGTTTCCACCCGCCGGCCGACTCCACTACTCTGCAACCAACTCTGCAACGACAGAGATACCGCAAGAGAAGCGGCGGGAATTATGCTTCCTGGTCGATAACAAGGGCCTGCTCTTTGTTTTGTTCTTTTTCCCGTCTGAACTATAATCATGGCCCCGAATGTCGAAATTTCCATCCCGACAGCCACCATCGCGGACGCTCCCAGTCCGTATACGCTATACAACATCACCATCCGGCTGCCTCTACGGTCGTTCGTTGTCCAGAAACGCTATTCAGAATTTGCATCGTTCCATGACGCACTAGTCCGCCAGGTTGGCGCCCAACCACCCGTCGCTCTGCCCGGGAAGTCCTGGTTTTCCAACACGAACTCGAACGAGACTCTGCGCGAAGAGCGGCGCAAAGGCCTGGAAAGATACCTGCGGGCCATCAACGAGAGCGAGGACCCGCGATGGCGTCAAACAAGCGTCTGGAGGTCCTTTCTAAACCTCCCCTCCCAAGCCCTGTCGGATAGCTCTGCCGCATCGAAGCTTCACAAGTCCATCACGGAACCGGGCGCGCCAGGCGGCGGACCGATCACGGATCCAGTCCTGTGGCTGGATTGCTACCGGGAGATGAAGGCGCACTTACACGAGACGAGGCTGCATCTGACGAGACGTGATCAGGCCACGACTCCACAGAAACAACACGAGAGCTCGGCACAGGCCAAAAGCAGCTTGGTGAAAGCAGGGTCGATGATCGGCGCTCTTGAGGAAGGGCTGAAGAACCTGAGCGACAAGTCGTCTGGATGGGGCGGCAGCAGGTTAGGCGAGGGAGAGATCCGTCGGAGGAAGGATCTCATCGCGAGCGCCAAGAAAGAGAAGGACGGATTGGAGAATCTGCACAACGCGATGGTGACGAAGAGCAAGCTCGACAACGCTGTCGCTTCGATGCAGGACAAGGACGCCCTGGTGGGGAGCGCCAAACCCCGTTCTGGACGAGTCCTGGGCAAGGAAACGGACAAGACGCGGGAACTCGACAACCAGGGCGTGCTCCAGCTGCAGAAGCAGACGATGGAAGAGCAGGACCGGAGCGTGGAGGAGTTGATGAAAATCGTCGCTCGACAGAAGGAGCTGGGGATCGCCATTAACAATGAGCTGGAGATCCAGAACGAGTTGCTCCGGAAAGCCGATGAGGATGTGGACATGTTCGTACTCTCGCTGCTGATTTCATTATTTACAATACTGCCCGTCGTGCATTTACTAACTGGAGTAATAATAACTAGATTACAACGGAAAATCGATATCGGAAAGAGAAGGCTCGGGAAGATATCCTGAGGCGAAACGATACGACAGAGTATTTACTCGAAGTGCTCGATTTTGAGATTTGCGTTCGAAACTAACGTATGAGTTTTTTTTTCCTTGCGGCGTTACTAGACCACATATACCCTCTTTTTACGTTTTTCTTTTCTTTAACGTTGTCTATCTGTGAGAATGGAGACAGCTACCAAGTGGTATTATTTCTATTATTGTTCATCTGGCGCTTTGATTCACAGCATCAGCATGTTAAGACTACTACGGCCAGGCGCCTTGACATACATAGCAATAATGGACTATTTTATTTCGAGGTCATGAACTAGTGAACAAAAGTCAGCTCATCATGCAGCTCGTTTAATGGAACTAAAGGAATAATGTATCTGCTTACTTACCTCCCTGGCTTCCTGTTCAGTAACTTCAACCCGTTCCGACGCCTTCTTGTCTATCAGACCGACCCGTTGCCTCCTGACGAGCCACCACAGCTCTCGTCTGTCTCCGCCCAGCTCCTCATTGAGGATCTTGTCCTTCAGCCTCCGCAGGAAGTCGTTGTAGAGATCCGGCTCTTCGTAGGCGATCAGCTCCTCGCGGAGGACACCCAGCTCCTCGATCACGCGGTCGTAGTTGGCGTCTCCAAAGCTGCTTCGGATGTGGTTCTCGATGATGCTTTCCATCTGGCTGACTGCGTCACGGACGGCGTCGATGGTCTCGGCGTTGACCAGCGACTGTTTGAACTCGGGGATGGCGTTGTTGGCTGAGATCTTGGCGCGCTTCTCGCGACGAAGGAGCTCGTCAACGTCAAGACCCGATAGGGGTTTGTCGGCTTCGCGATTCCGCTTGCGACCTTTTGCTTTTGGTGGAACTGTGCAGCATTTTTTAGTCAGATGCATTCTGGGGGAGCGTAGAAGTTGACAGACCTTTCTTCACATCGGCGGCGGCAATGACCCGATCCAGGTATTTCTTCGCGCGCGCTTGCAGATCTGCTGGCGGTCGTGACAGCTGCGTCAACTTCTCAGAAGGGGGCGGAAGAGGCTCGTTTGGATGGATGGCACGCCACCGGATAGCTTGCTCGATCCTGTGCAGCAGTGGAGAGTACGAATCCTCCAGTCTGGGAGCCAGGCTGTCAACTGGTTCTCTGTGGAGTTGTCAGTATACTTGAGATGAGCAGCATGACGGTTTCCCTGTGATGACTCACCCGTTTTCATCCTTGTCGACGAGCTCCATGCTGTCGACGTATTTGCTCATCGCATTCAGCAATTCGTCACTTGGGAGATGTCGGTGCTCTTTGACTGTCTTTCCAGAGACAGTGACCACCTTGTCCAAGGGAGGGAAACGGTACGACCGAACATCTTCAGCAAAAGGGAGCTGGACTTCTAGAAGACATTCAAAGTCTGCTTCAATAGATGGTGCCAGTAATACGATGAGTGGGGGCTTGTTGTCCTTGGTAACAAGTCTGGCCACAGCATAACAGTCCAACTCGAACAAGGCGTGAATGAAAGATGAAAGAGCAAGGATCGCCTTTTCGTTTGCTTTCTGTGCAATTATGACATTGCTGGTAGACATGTGCATGTATCGGTCGTACTGGATCCTAGGTTAATCACGGTTCAGATGAGATACCCTTGACGAGAAACATACATGGTCACTCTGAATGAAGCCGATGATTTCCAGACCAGGGTTCGTCTGGAGTTTGGTGATATTCTCATCGGACTCACTAATGTGCACCGCGGTTCTCCCATACTCGTAGCCCTTGGCGAGATCTTCTCGCTCCACGTCTCTCTTGCCTCCTGGTGCGGACTCATCACTGACGTGATATGTCCGTGCGTTTCGGACGCTTGTCAGTGCATTCTCTGCACCCTCTTGACCAGCTGCAGCGTCAGATCGTAGGACAAAGGAGCTCGCTGTCGGCGGCTTGGCAACATAAGTTCGGTAGTATCTTTCGACTGGGATACGAAGGGCAGACGAATACTCTTCAGGGTTCCCCAGTCGGAGCTCTCCTCTAAAGGAGGGTATTCCACGAACAACCTTCACACGCGGTGTGTCCAGCTCCAATATGGCCTGTTGTAATGTCCCGTAGACTCCGTCGCAGGAATCAACGAGACCTCTGAGGACCGCTTCATTCTCAGCCTGCGGCAGATCGAATCAGCAACTCTTCCAACCTGCTAAAAAAAAAACATTGAATACTTTTGCTGGATTCTTGTCCTCCTCTTTGACACCAAATTCAGGATCATCAAAGTCAACACCCCTGCAACGAAACCAGTTTAGCCATTTTGCATACCAGCCACAAGAAAAGTCAAAGAGAAGTGAAAAACATACAAGACCACCAATTCAATGCTATCGGACTTGAGCTTTTTCACGATCTCATCAAGACCATCGGTACTCATGGATCCTTCCCCGTTCGTCACGAGAATGATTTTCCGTCGATACTTCAGCTTTTTGGTATAAGTGGTGATCATCTGGATCGCGACGACAAGGGAGGAGATAGCTATAGGTAGATAGGTCTCAATATCAAATCAAATGAGTCCGAAGATACGGGCAAAACTCACCATCTCCTTCATCAGTGTTGCTAGGCTTGATCAGGTCGCGCAGTTTTCGCAGATCAGGCATGAGGACCCTGGCAGTGATTTATTTAGTATATGCGAGGAAAAGTCACTAGTCATCAGTGTCAGCTGAGGCACATACTGTCCAATTTCCTGAAAGACAGAGATGTGCGAATAGCTGTCATCATCCTGCAAGTCGTTCGATGTTTCTGTCCAGATACATCAGTAAATCATATTTACCTGATTCGGGCACGGTAAAATCTCACCATCTGTCCTCAGCCCGACCACTCCAATTGTAGCCGTTTTCCGCCCCGTGGCAACCTAACAGAAGATATGTCAGTTCTCAACGCAGGAATTTAATTTCCAGGAGACCGGATCAAGTGTCAGCATACGGTTGTCGTAATCTTGTCCCAGACATATTGCATTGCCCATTCCAGGTCAGATACCGGCCGTCCATGGCGGCGCCTCCCCATGGACTTTCCCACATCGATCACGTAGACGGTGGCCTCCTTGTCAGCCATTTTGCAAAAGAGATGTCAGCTGTCCCTCCTGCTGCAACGAAGAGGAAGGAAATGTCAGATAAATAAATCACTGCATGGCGTAGATGCGTTTCTTTCTATGACTAAGGAGCGCCTCCAGGCAGACGCGTGATATTTCCTTTTTGAGGCGCGGCAGACGCGAGTGCACATGACGTCGGGAAGGTGCGTGGGCCTTACGGAAAAGGCCGTGTGTATAGATATTTGTGCTTTGTTGGAAGCAGATCTAGGTTTGAGCGGGCCGTGGAGATAAGAACATGCCCCACATGCAGCTAGCGTTAGCTCGGGAGACCCAAGCTTGACAGCTTCTCTAACCTACCCGTAGCATAACACAACTTACTCTTCCCTCTGAATTCCCAGTCAGTGGGGTATCTGTCTAAGTATAATCCCATATAGTTCTGTTCCAGTCACGAGGTGTTTCCATATCAGTACAACAGAGCAGGATGTCTATCCTGGGCCCCTTCCACATACTAAGGTGCGTCACCAGTACTACGGCTGCTACTAATAGATCGGCTGACATCACACTTCAATCAGCTACGGCACCCTTCTGGGAGTCGAGATCTATCAGGTTTGACATCCTGAGTTTTGTTTCTGGTCAATTGGTCAGGAGGATAGATAACTCATCAAAAGCTCCTACAACATTCCGTTATATATGTAGACCTTCGTTGGCGGAACCGTCGCGTTCAGGACGCTTCCCCGTCAGCAGTTCTCGACGCTCCAGAATAGCCTGTTCCCGATCTACTTCACCCTGCAGAGCGCTCTCCCCGTTGTCGCAGCGCTGACCTACCCGGGAGCCAGAACGGTCCTGGGAACTGGGCCCTCTAGCCTCGCGGGGGTGCTTCTCGAGGAGAATCGTCTGACGGTGTTGCTGCCGCTTTCGATCGTCTTCGTTTCGGGACTGACCAACCTGCTCTATCTGACCCCGAAGGTTGTGGGAGTTATCAAGCAGAGGTGGCAGCAAGGTTGGTACCTGCCTACTACCTACCGGTTTGGCTGCTGCCGAGTACGCACGAGTACACTGTATAGGTACGGGCTGATATATATGATCTCTGGCAGAATCGATCGACGGCAAGAAGAGTTATGACCCGCCTCCTCACTCCAAGGAGATGACCGAGCTCAACAAGAAGTTTGCCAAGCTGCATGGAATCTCGACGCTGGTCAACCTGGGCGGTCTCCTGGCGACAGTTGCCTATGGCGTGGTCCTGGGCAGGAGGTTGTCCTGAATATGAAGTGATAAACGCAAACATGGTATGCTATGCTAGGTATCATGATGATAGCCTGCCTTTTCCAGCTTTTAGTCTTTGAAAGCCGTTGAATAAAAAGACTTGATCTCCTCTCCAACATTTTTTTTCAGAAATACTTTATATTAGCGTCTATAATGAATGGATGATCCTTATGATACTGAAGGTCTACATTGCACTATGCAGTATTCACCATACCTTCCTATCTTCAGTCTTTACCAATTCCTGGCGTTCATTGCCTATGCCCTCCAGCTTGGTAGTAATCGGTAGTTCCCAGTTTGTTCAATTCCTTTCTTTGAGGGTAGCTGGTGTTGCGGAAACGGTTCTTTATACTCTTTTCTAACTTGCAACTAGCTATATTGCTGCTCAGAAAACTAAACACTAAGTTCTTCGAATGAGAAGATATACCCACTTGCACCTTCTGCTGGCCATCTGATGAGGTACTTGAAGGTAGTAGATGGGGGAATAAATCTGCCAGACTCATTCAAGGCAGGTCATTCGCTTGCTGTACACAACGTTGTATTTGCTCTTTATTGTTGTTACTATTCTCGGGCATGCAGAGACCAGCCTTTGTTCTTCAGAAGTCAACGAACTGTTCAGTGAATCCATCCTTTGTATTATATATATCTCGAAACTCATGCATCAGACGGATGCTTGTCTTGTCTTGTCTTTGTTTAAGACACTTTTTAATCTCTTGTGATAAGACCCAGCTACTCTCTTTAATCAAAGCCAGCATCCTTTCTTTTTCTATTTCCTGTCGAATTTCATGATAGAAGAAATTTGGAAAGCTAATACATATTCAGCTGTCTGATATCGATCGAATCATCATCACCATGGACCCCTTCGGCCTGTTCATGTTCTCCATGGCCATGGCCATCCTCGGCATCTTCCATGCCATCCCTTTCACCGCCGTTCATCCCGCCAACAACTTCATCGAGCGCCTCCAGGGCGGGTTCAGGATGGGCTATGTCCTCGGAAGGATTGGTGAGGCGCTCGACATGATCGCGCCGCCGCGATACGAGAATAACACCTGGTACAAGACCAGGGACTGGTCGGCCACGTTTCCGATCCCAACTGTGACGACTATAGATGACGGGACTGAGACCGAGACCGAGACTGAGACTGCTTCTGTTTCGATGATGACAGATGTTCTTCCCTCAAGGACGGTGGTTATCTTCTCCCCGGTTGCACCTTCGGAGACGCGTGTTCATCCTGCAGTCCGTGAGCATGCTGAGCCAGGCTCCAAGTTGTTTGAAGCCGTTGAGGCTCGTTTGGACGAGTTCAAGACCCAATTGGCGCAGAATCTCACCGGGACTTTTGAAGTTCGTCTGAACATTACCGGTGATCTGGCGCCCAAAGTCTTGGAAATCGTCGAAGCTCACTTGAAGGTGTTCAGAGCTCAATTCGTGAAAAACATCATCGTTGCTTCAGCAAGGCAGACTCCTCCTCCTCCTCCTCGAGACCCGTTCTCTTTCTCTGCCATACCGTCCTGGATGGCAGTGTTGATTGCAATATCCATCACTATCTTCAACATCAAGAAATCACAGTTTCTGCGTGACGACGTGCAGCGTTTCATGGCAGCCACAAGGTTCTCACGCCAGGAAGCAGAACGAATGCTCAAGCACGCCCGTCAATCCAGAGACGACCTCGCCCAGACACTCAATCAGAACCGCTCTCGGATACTCTCCGAGGTCAACGAGCTGGACCAGACTTTCCGCCGCGAATGCCAAAGGCACATGGCCCATGTCCACACGTTCTTCGAGGAGGAACGGCAACGGATCCAGCACGAGATCCAAAGGTTTCTCCGGGAGGAGGTTCAACCCTTCCGTACATCGATCAACACTCGGCTGACCGGCCAGCTCGGCGAATTGCAGCGGGAACTCGACGATCAGGAGGCCCGTATCAGGAGCCATGTGGAAGCGCTGCAGGCGACACGCCTTCGGATACCGGACACGGACGCTCTGGAGGCGGAGTATGAAAATTTCCAAGAGGACATACGGCGAGCACAAGACTGGACCAGGGATTTTCTACGGCGTATTGACGAGGAGTCACTTTCTCACGAACAGCTAGTCGATTCTGTAAAGCATGTTGAGGTGCGTGTGAACTTGTCTTCGTCCATTCTTCAATCGTAACAAGATGTTTGTTGTTGACTTGAAGCTCCCGCAGGACTTGCTCGTGAGCATCGCAGCTCGCCAGAAAGCCACCGAAGCCGCCGCAGAAGCCCTTCAGTCGCGGCAGGATGAACTCGAAACGAAGACGAAGACCGAGACCCTAGTACCTGAAGAAACTACTCAGAAAGAGATAGATGTAAAGGGGAAAGACGAACCGCCAGTGCTGAAGACGGAAGAGGAGACCGCAGCGTCCGTAGCATCCGCAGATGAACAGGTGGTGGTCGGCTCCCCTCTCGCGTGGAGGACGATGGCCGCCGCTGCCAGCATGCCCCAGGATGAGTGGGAGCGAGAACGACAGGTCCGCCGCGAACGCGTCCTGCGCCGGGAGACAGAGCAAGAGGATAGGAGAAATGTTTATAAATCATAAACTGAACAATCGGTCATCGTGGAACCAGCGACAGCGACAGAGTGACACTGGCTGGGGCTCTTCTCCTGTCACTCGTACTAACTAGTTCGAGAGAGGTGCCAGATGACTACAGGGTACCTTGGGCGGTTTCCCTTTATTCTTCCCTTTTCTCTTGTCAAGTCTCGTGAATATGAATCATGAGCTCCTCGTTTGTCCTACTTGCAAACAGAGGAAATGGATGATGGCTTTTTATGCTATGCGTCAGTGATGGTTGGGTAATTGGTGTTACGATTGATGAAGGAGAGATTCATCCGCAAGAGAGGCAATTCCTTTGATTGGTGGTACATACAAAAACCGTGTCAACGAGGGGTATTGGATTTGAGTGCTAGAGCAAAGTGTAGTCTATCTACAACATCCCGAGAATTGTTGCAGCCGTGTTGTCCCAATACCGCCATATCCCATGCCAATTCCATGTAACGTGTAACTAGGTGAGAAGTAGAAGCAAACTTGACTGAATGCAGTCGTCCACACCATCTAGAGAAAGACCACCCGACCCATGATCCATCTAAGATTCCATAAGCTTCTCCGCGCCTTCGTAGAATTTCGGCAGCGGCTCGAGCTTCTGTCGAAGGACCCAGACGCGGAAATGCCACACGGCATTCTTGATCTGGTACGAGGCATGTTTCCAGGTTGAAACGGAGAAGACCTGGTCCAATTCTTCCAGAGTGAGAGCTAGATGAAAAAGACGTCAGTTAGAAACAATGCACAGATCCAAGTTTATACAAGGGGCACTCACCTTTGGTCTCTGGCACGAATAGAAGAACAAGGAACCAGCCGACGATACACCAACCGGCATACCACCCAAACGCTCCTTGCGGCTTGAAGGCCCTCTGCAGGGAAGGCCATGTAAAAGATAGGATAAAGTTGAAGCACCATGTAGTGGCTGTAGCCCAGGACATGCCGACTTCACGCACATGCAGTGGGAAGGCTTCGGCTGAATAGGTGAACGGCACGGGTCCCTCACCGGGGGAGTAGAACACTTCGAAGAGGTACATGCCCGTCGTGACCATTGCAACTCGCTTCCTGCTCGTCTCGTTCCACGGCTCGATCCAGAAAGAGAAGCCCGTCCAGAACAAGGTAATCGCCAGAAAAGGGAAGGTGGTAAGCAGGAGGTTGCGCCTCCCGAATGTGTCGATGGTAAACACTGCTGGAAGAGCAAAGAGCCAGTTCAGAATTCCAGTGCCCATAGACGCCAGAAGGGCGGCTTGAGTAGAGTAACCGGAGCTAGTGAAGATCGTGGTCGAATAGTAAGCAATGACGTTCACTCCGCAGAATTGCTGCATGAACATGACAATCCAGCTCGCAAGGGTCGCACGGGCGTTGCGGGGGATGGTAAAGAGCTCCATGAACATTGTGAAGAAGTTCTTCCCCTTGTTGATCTCCCGCTCGAGCTGGACATTCACGTATGCGTAGTAGAGATCTCGGGCAGCTTGCAGATCGGACCGTCGGAGGGTCCGGAACGCCCTGAAGGCCTTGTCGACCTTGTTGTGTTGGATCAGCCAACGAGGCGACTCGGGGCAGAAGTACACCTGAGCGCAAACAATAACAGGAAGGACCACAGTCGAACCGAGCATGAGACGCCACGAAAGATCGTCCGAGAGGCCCATGAACGCTACCCCCATGATGTTACCCAGCATGATTCCGAACGCGGTCCACATCTGCCACATCATCACAAGGGCCCCTCGAATTGGAGCAGGTGCGCATTCGGCAGCATACACGGGCACGGTAGATGATTTGGAGCCAATTCCCAGACCGAGGACGAATCGAGCAATAAAGAGATTAACCCAGGAGTTGGCGACGCCCTCCCAGACCGAGGCCACGGCGGCCACGAAACAGGAGATGAAGATAGTTCCACGACGGGCAAACAGCCGGTTCAACGGCTCCGTGAGCCAGCAGCCGAGGATCGCACACGCAAGGTACGGCGCGCCCACGACCAGTCCCGTGATGTTGTCCTGCTCCTGCCCCGTGAATCGAGTTGTGATGCCCAGTTGCTAAATCCGGCAGTCAGCGCCTGCATCGAAGGTGAAAGGACATGGCTGGAAGGCTGGACTGGTATACCTTGAGGTAAATCGCCTGAGCTCCGTTGTTCACCGTTTCGTCCATACCTTGCACAGCAGCAGCCAACGAGCACATTACTAGTGTCCCCCAGTCAGTCACCTGATGGAAATAGAAGTCGACTCTTGTTCGTCAACTTACCGACAAGCCAGTAGAGCGCGAATGGCTGGTCCCATTTATGAGTATGCTCCCTGAGGAGGATTCTCTTCTCCTCATCTGTCAACTCGGTAAGATCCTGGGCGGCCGCGGGATTCTGGGAGACAAGGGCGCCCTTCTTAAAATCATCCAGATGATCCTCTAGGTTGTACCGTTTGCAGAAACTCTCGACATCCTCCAGGAGCTGTTCACGTGGAATCCCTGCCAACGGATTCTCGAAAACGACATTCAGCTTGTCCGGCGGCCGCTCATGGATATCGTAGATATTGCGAGCTTCCGCCTTTACATTCTCTGTCTGCTCGGCACTGGGCGGGCTTTCATTTCGCCCCCCTGGATGGGCTTTCTCGTCGACGGTAGGCTTCGTATTGTCGTCCACGGTTAGACTCATGGTGGTATGCCGTGATGCGGTTGTCTCTCTTCAGGCTGAAGGAGGTGGGCAAAGCTTCAGTCCTACCATACAGGGTGGCGCAAGTTCACCCGCCGGGGGAATGGGAAATAATCACTAGAATACGGTCTACGGTGAAAGTGGAAAAGGACCCCGTTTATAACAGCACGAGCTGGGGATCTGGGGAACAGAGGCAATTTCTCGAATCCTTCCCCAGAGTCTCCCGCGTGGATCCTGTGGCAGACAACTCGCTCCAATCGGCGACTTCTCTATGACCCGGTAGCTTTCTATCAGCTACGGAGCATGTATGAGAGGACTAATGCGGCTGGAGAACAAGGGCCTTTGACGCAACGTCCCATTCTCGTCCACACGGATTGGGCGTCCTTCAATATGATAGGGCACCATTTCCGAGAGGGACCCTTGACGAAGGAGACGATGGGCGAATGCGAAAGCCAAAGAGCATAATTGGACGGCAAGGTGGACCGTCAACCACATGGTTATCCGGAATCTTTCGAATTCGAGGCCACATGGAGTGCCCATGGGGATTGGAGACTGAATGAGGGCCGGAAAGAGCGCGAAGCCTCTCGACGCCACTGGCGTAAAAGACAAGGATGGTGGAGCCTGATGTTTTGAATCGTGAGTCGTGACAAGAGGCAACTGATCGAACTGCTGCGCTGAACTCTGGGACGGAGCAGGCATAGCGCTGGTGGAGAAGGCGTGCAGCAACGACCCTATCAGGTGCGGTGCTGGTCCAGGCTTAGGGCTTAGGGCTGCACCCTGTCAGCCATTCCCGCTGATCGTCGTCGCCACCGTCGTCATCTGCCTGCAACTGCCGCAGGAGCTTCACGCCTCGTTTTGTAAAAATTCGCCTCTATCCTTTCTCCATCCAGACTTCAATTCCTTCCCCTCCCCAGTCATTCTGCTCTCAGCGGGGCTGTTCTGAGCAGGGCTAATGGCAGGTACGGATAGGACCGTTCGAATTGTAGAGAGAATAACTCCGTAGACAGCCTGGCATTGCTGTTGATATCGGATAACGAGTGACGCACTGGCCCATGTACTAATTCAGCCCCCAACGGCCTGGCTGGGAACTAACCAAAGTCTACCAGACTGTGCCAACACAACTCAGCATAACTCGACATAACTCACGCCTGTCATTTCCGTTTCAGGCAAATGTAGAGTTAAAATTTGGACGGGGCGCACTTGCCTTGCCAGCTGGAGATAGAAGTCATAGAATAATTGTATCGATTGCAAAACCTCGCGACCGTGGATAACAATGGACAAGCAATTATTATTGCCAGCCGCCGACGCCCAATTGGGACTCAGAGCGCTTCCAGCTTTCAAATTCCAACTGACTTGCTCCACTTTGAAGATATCTAAGTTCTCGCCGACTAGGATAAAGACGCAGCCAACATGGATCCGGGAGCATCTGGAGCCTATCAGCCTCTGTAGTGGAAAAATCAAACAGCTAAGGAGTGGATGTTAAGGCACCTCTTTTGGCTGAGTTCGTGAAAAACAAATAGAGCTATCATGCCGAAAGTCCGGGGACCCCCGCAAACAGTTGCGTCGTATTCGACTAGTTCTCATGACCCCTGCTGAGCCAAAGACTTAGGTGGGCGTACCGCATTAGCTCTCTGGGGAGTCTGGGTGTCTGTGGAGGAGGGGTTTCCGGAGCACTGTCAGCCGAAGACTATTTTCCCTGGCAACTTTGGTGTCTTTGATGTAGAGGTACATACCCAAATCTGCTCCAATCAACATCCCTGCCCCCATGGCACGGCATAGTTGCAAGCACGCTCTAAATTTGTGGCGATGAGGCTGACCTGCAGCGCTGTCTGATTTGAAATCGCTCAGCGTCTTTGTTGCAAAGACCAAACCGGAGAGAAAGGAAAGCACGTGTTTGGTCGGATGAATCAAAGACCGGTAACTCCTTCCGTTTTAGGCACTGTATCCCCTTCTCTGTTTTCCTCAGGACAGCAATTTTTTATATCCTGAGAGTATGTGATCAGTGTAGTTTTTCTGTCGTGCACCCTCATTTTCTGTTGTTCCCTGCTTTGAAAGTAGCAGTTTCACACATCCAGTCTCTCTTCATCCGGGAGAAGTTAGTGGTTATGTTATTCGTTATACTACCAGAATAGCAGACCTCCTTGTTTTAGAACTCATTGCTCCAAGGGAAAAAGAGAAATATATAATTACTCCTACACATCAGTGTTTGTACTATTTTTATTTCTGCTTTACCTTCTCATCATGTGTCTTTCACGCTATTCTCTTCTGCAGCCCAATCTCGTCAAACAAAGACAGCACATCAATTTGGCCTAGCTCTGGAAGTGCGAGCTATCTCTGGCCATGCCCAGCTGCCACAGGACATAATGAGCTCAACACGCGATATTGTGGATATTGGACCGTTGCACGATAGCCCCATATAGAACTGAGTTGAGTGTTGGAAATTTTCTTTCTCAGATCTGGGCTTCTCGATGTGGTCTTTTGGACACTGCCACTACTTCAATGGCCAGATGGAGTGGAAGAAAGGAGGGAAGGTGGTTTCATTATTTTCAAAAATATCAGCGTCCTGGAAAAGGGCAAATATCCATCCCATTCATTCCTTTTTTAATTTGGTATGATCTTACTGGATGCTTCTGACAAAGAAATTCTGAGTGTGAATAAATCACACCAGGAAGTTACTAGGAATGTTCTTCATCCAGCATTCACCAGAACAAGAGGACTTTGTCACAAACAGAACTTGCACACCAACATTATGTACCTGCTAGCAATTTCCAGCCCACCATCCCTCTGCCAGTCGGGGCATCTTCACCATCCACACTCATCACCATCTTGCTCCATTGACCTCCTTCTTTATCAACTCCCCAAAGGCTACTGCACTGAAAATAATGTTTATTTTGGGAACGCTCTCGAGTTGTTCCTCTTTGTTGTGGACGATGTCCTATACTTTCCTTCCACCCTACAGCCGGATATATAAAATTATCCATCACCATATTCTACCTTCTCCCATAGACATGGGTCTTTTCCCTTTACAACAGCACTCATCACTTCCAGCTGCCAAGTTGGATGCTTCAGCAAGGGTCGAGTATCTAATACGGGTGCTCCCTCCCTATCTCCTGGTTCTTTTATATTTCTCGTTACCAATTCTTCATTGACCAGACAGCTAATAACATTCAAGACGCCTTCGATTAAGCCTCCTGATTTCAAAATACTGCGAAGAAAGACATCTCTACAATACAATTAAAAAAAAAGGACAGGCGGGAAAAGAGAAAAGACAAAATGGATATAGCGATTTTCATCGCCATCTTTGCTGCTCTCAGCTTCTGGGGTACGTACGGCAGTGTCCCTTTCACCACCATCGATCCCTCTCGTCCTGTTCTTGATCGTCTTGGCGGCTCTCTTCAAGCGACAACCGTGGTCTACGCACTCGATTCGGCCGATCAATACTATAACGCGCCTGATACCATCAACGAGGAGGCCACCTCCGTTGCAGCTGATCTCCCCAAACAAACTCCGAAAACGGAGCTGGACCATCTCATGGAGATGGTCAAGGAAGAGTATGGAGAGAAGGGCAACGTGGTTATTCTCTTTCCCACGAAAAATGCAACCCCTTTCGAATCAACAGTCTCACCACCAGTGACTTTGTTCCCAGACTCTTTGAGTGATATGAATGCGACCGCCACACGTCTGAACATGGCAACCTACAGACCAAGTCCAAAGACGGGGAACGGCGATGCAACAATTCTTTCATTTATTGGGGTCCTTTCAGTAATTTACATGGTTTGCAAGTCCATCTTTGGTTGCCCTGAGACTGCTCCTGAACGTGTACCCCAGGGGCTGGAGGAATTTGAGGACAGGCTGCTACAAAGGGTCTCCGAACACCTTGACCGAAGCATCGTTCCCTTGCAGGGGTTGGTGTCCAGGCAGGAAGAATCTGTGACAGTATCCCTCGTGAGAGAGACCGCTGCGAAATTCGACAGGTTGGCCGCGGAGTTTCGAGAGCTCCAGCGAGACTATGCGAGGTCAGCCGCTCCGCGTTCTGACCCGGCGCCGCCTGTCAATGTCAACGTCAACACGAATGACGATGAGGGTGCATCTACTTTGAAGACTCTCCATTCAGAACAAGTCGGTCTGAGAGCGGAGCTTAAGCAGGTGCACAGTCAACTGGACAATCTCCACGAAGAGTCGAAAATAGGACTAAGGAGTGTCCAAGTCAAACTCGAGGAACATTTTGACATCAAGTTGGATAAACTGCAAAAGGCTTTGGAAGAGCATCTCGAGAACGTTTCGTCGAAACGGTTGTCCGTCATTGAACAAGACTTGTTTATCGAGGACAGGCGATTCCTTCGTTCTGGTGTTGAGGCCCTATCAAAGCGAGTGACCTCCGTTGAAAAAGACTTGGAGAAGTTCCTCAGCGATCAAACGCCTACGGATCAAAAGGAATATGTTCATCAAAGTCTCGAGACTTTATCGAAGGAAGTGGCTTCCATTAAAGAAGGATTGACAGTTGATTCCAGTGTTCAATCTATCAACGATCTTGCAAAGGACATCCAGGGCCTTCATACCAATCTCGAGATCCTGTCGGAGAAAGTCAATTCCATTGAAAAAGACTTGAATGGTGTTTTAGGTGATAAAACCTCGACCAACCTGATCCACTTGATTGACGCCAATCTGAAAACTTTGTCGGAACGAGTCACCTCTCTTGAAGGCCAAGCTCTTTCTAGAGATCAATCCACCGCCGATTTGACGAACAGCATAGGAGATCTTCGTTCATATCTTGACAGACTATCGGATAATGTGTCCACCATCAAAAAGAGCTCGGAAGATATCTCCAACGGTCAACTTACTATCGATGTTGGATTAGGAGACCTTCGTTCCAGTTTCAAGACCTTATCTGAGCGAGTTTCCTTAATCGAAAAAGACGTAGCAGCTTCTTCTGGTTATTATGACGAACTTACTGCAAATGCCGCAAAAGACGTGGAGAACCTTCGTGCCAATCTGCAGACTCTAACGGAGCGGGTGTCTGCAATCAATGAGAAATTGACGGCTGTCTCTGGGGACCATGATCGATCAACCGCTAATCTCACGAAGAACCTGGATGAACTCCGCACCAGTTTCGAAAAGCAGGCTAAAGACTCAAAAGAAATCACCGGACAAGTACAAAAGAACCTGGATACTTCACTGGACTCCTTCAGGAAGGAATTGAATCAACAGGAGGCGACGATTAAAAAGAAGCTCGCTGAGCTTGTTACTGCCACGCAACGATCGAGAGACATGCACTCTGCGGTCAACCAGAAGGAATGGCGGACTCTTGCGGATAAGGTTGATATGGTTGCTTCTCAAACAGAACAGGCCGAGAAAAAGCATTCGTCGTTGGAGAAACGCTTCGAGCATATTAGTGACAATTACAGCACGAGACTTAGGCAACTCGAGAAGCTTCCTGAGAGAGTCGTTGGCCTGGAGCGAGTCGAAAAGATGTACTTCAGAAACATCAAGAGGTCTCTCAAGGCTAACGGCTTGGATTTGGAAATTATGCCTCCTGGTGACAAACCCGAAGAGTCGGCTATACCAGCAAAAGAGGTATCTACTGAGGTAGATTCTCCCAGTAGCTCGCAGTCTTCACCGGCATCGCCCCAGGCGCCTGTGTCTCTACCAGGACTCCAAGCGAGTCGATGGGCAGTCCCTGTCTCTGGTTCTCCTACGAAGCCAGTTTCCCGTCCCCCAGGAGGACCAGCATCTAGTTTTTCTCCAAAGACAGCTGCCTCACCTGTTTCCCCTGGGTCTAGGACCGCAGGTCCAGTCCCCGACCTACCGTCATCAAAGCCACCACCTGAGACTAAGACAGAGACCAGGGGTTCCAGTTCGTCAGAGCCTCAGACCCGGCCACCGGAACAGGAGCCGGCATCAAGCCAAAGCGCTGAGAAATCTGCATCTCCTACCACTCAGGCCGCGGATCCAGCTCCAGGCCCAAGTCCCGATGCTCCAGAATCGTCAAAGGAACAAGCACCAAGTGAGAACCAAAACGCGGAATCCAAGCCTTCACCAAAAGAACCAGCCTCAGCTAGCCATGGGGACACTACTACTACTCCTATTACTACAGACCCATCGCCACAGGCTTCTTCTCCCGCGAATCCCACCCCGTCAGCCTCCCGGACAGGAGATTCGTCGCCGACGCTCTCACAGTCGACTCCCGAATTGCAGTCAAAGGAGTCAAAGGAGAAGCAACAGTCCAGTTCAGAAAAAGCGGCGGAATCCGCACCTCAACCATCGCCCGTACGGTCCCTGATGCAAAGCCGCTGGGCCACCGATGACGGTGATGCGCCAGCACCAGCGCCGACGTCACCTTCTACTTTCAATTCGCCAGGTAGCAGAGGCAGGGGCAATTGGAGTAGCGGAGGTAGAGCTGGTGGTAGAGGCAGAGGCAGAGGTAGATAGAGGCGGTGATAGAAGAAAGCAGTTCTCTCTTTGGTTTGTATCACAGGCGAAAAAAAAAAGGAAAAAAAAAAGAGCTCACTGTTACCCGTCTCCTTCTTCTCCTTCTTCTTCTTTCCCATGTTATATGCATCATCCATGCCGTTGAGATTTATTGATGTGAATTACCTTGCAGACTTTTATTGATGTTATTTATGCAGAAAGGAAGGCCAGAAATGAGTAGATCAACTAATTAATTACTTATGCTCTACAGAAAAAGGAAAATATCGTTTCATATATATAAGCCGAGCTGCTAGAGTACTAGTAATCATCACAATGCTGTACAAAGTACAAAATTCCAATGCCAAAGTGTCAGGCGCAGAAAAAAAAAGAGGACGTAGAAGACGTAGAGAGAGAAAGGGGGAAAAATAATAAAAGCCTGTAATCCAGCAGCGGCTCTTTTCTTCTTCTATTATTCTCTAATTAACAATGATAAATGGATAAAGGTCCTCATTTCATGTCATATCCTTGTCATACTGTCTATATTACACATACTATACTATGGGGTATCTTTCTATATATATCTATCCATCATCTAATCTGCTTAACTACTTTTCGTTTCCCCCTCCCCTTTTTCATATATATCCAAGTTAGAAACCATGACGCCCATGCCCATGACCGCTTAACCCAAGCAAAAGGAAAAAAAAAAAGAACGCCTCACAAGATCCCGGAGAAAAAAAAAGTCACTGACTGCATCAACTCGACTGCTGAAGAATATACTTCCGACATGCATCCTTCAACATGTCTATGCGCCGCTGCGTCTGGATAAAGACCTCGTGGTACATCTCCAGACTCTCCTGGACGACCTCGGTACGCGTCTTGGTCCCCGCACAAATGTCGCGCATGCGCAGCTCCATCTCCTTGCGCAGGAAGGGCTTGCTTAGGGAAGGGCTGTCCGGGAGGCCGGCTACGACGTTGTCGTAACCCTCGACGAGCGCAATGCCCAGTCTCGTCGGGATGAATTCTTGCACGGTATTGCTGTTGCTGTTGTTGTTGTCGCCGCCACGGCCACGGCCACGACCACGACCGCCGCCGCCGCCGCCTCGCGGACGGGTGGCGACGTATTCGCGCTCTTTGATCTTGGCGATATGTTCCGCCATTGTGGCATCGGTGCCGATGCCATTGGCGTCCATGAGTGCGATGAGTTCGGGCTCGGTCAGGTAAGAAGGCGGCGTCGTCTTCCCCTCGACGATCTTAGCCTCGGTAGGCTCAAAGAGCTCGCCCACCTGGAAATCAGGCAGTTGGGCGCTGCTTTCCCACTTGTCGTAGACATAGACATCCAGGTAGTTCTTCTCGAGAACGATGAGGCCCTTGGCATGGAACATCTCGTCGCCGTACCGGATCTCGACTTCGGACGTTTGTCCCTTGGCATCATCGGAGCAGCAGGCGAGGAAGCGTCGGACGACAAACTCATAGACGCGTTTCTCTTCGGCGCTCAGTTGCGTGGGCGAAACCCAGCAAATAGGGTGGATCGGAGGATGTGCTTTGTCGTTGTGGCGGCCCGATCGAGGAGTTTTGAACTTGCCGTCCAGGAGACTACACCATTAGTAGTTGAAAATAATTCTAGTACGGAACGCAATCGTACCTCTGAGCATATTGACCCCAGGAACTGTCGGGCACTTGTTTCTCAATGAGCTTCTTCAAGTCAATACCGCTGTCGAACTGATCCGTCTCCGTGCGAGGATAGCTGATGTAGCCTTTGGTATAGAGGGCCTCGGCAATCTAATTTGGTTAGCGAGCAATCTTATCTTGGATAGGATGAAGAGGGTATATACCTGCATGACTTTCTGACTGTCCATCCGAAGGTACTTGCTGCCCATCATTTGCAGATCCACCGTCGTCAAAGGGAGAGGCCTCCATTTGCTCGTGGGATTCTTGGTCACTTTGGTGACTTTGGCATTTTTTGCCGTCAGACATCGCTCCAACATGACCGTCACCGCTGCCCGGTCGAAGAGATGGACGCGGCGCCAGTTGAAGTTGACATTCATGCCATCCCGCTCATGCATGACCTTGATCGCCCAGAAGGGCTCGGGTTTGAAGTTCTGCACGCGAAGGTAACGGTCTACGACGAAGCCCAGCGTGGGAAATTGGCACGAGCCTGGAAGCGGTCAGCCCGGCTGGGGCCTCCTAGAGGCAATTACCGAAACCTACCGTAGCTGATGATCCGGTCCTTCAATGCTTCTCCGAGATTTTGAAGCTGGAGAGTTTGCAATCGCGTAAAGGCGGCCCCGATCCGCAGATCGAGCTCAATCCGGGCGGCCACGGCGTTTGCCTGACGCTCATCCAGGTCGACCGGTGCACGAGCAGCCCGTAATACATGACTGCAGATCGGTCAGCGTCAGGCATGCAGCTAAGTGACGGACTACGTACGTTTTCTCGGTGTTGCTGAACTTGGCGCGCTTGACCTCGATGTTCGCATTGCTCCGTCGCGCCTGATACCGGACTTCGGTGCCTATGTGCTCGCCTTCACGATCGCAATCCGTCCAGATGAACAGAGCTTTGGCATACTTGGCCTGCTCCTGGATATTTTGGGCAATGCTGAGCTTCTCCTGCTCACGACATCAGCGCTGTGGACCGGGCTACACGGTTCTCGCAGACCTACAGCATCCACGGATTCGACCACGGGGGCTTCAAAAAGCGCACTCGGTGGGCACGACGTCCAGCCTCGGTATTGACGCTCAAAGTCCAGAGTGGTCAAGTGCCCGATGACGCTGGTCATGGTCACGGAGCACGAGCCCCAGGCGCCGCCAAAGTTGAAGTTGAATACGTAGTTCTTGACATATGGGTTGCCACGGACGTTATTCTACGGGGATTTAGCATCATCACGACCATTCTACACGCAGAGTGCCTCCAACCAGGCTGGAGCGAACAACTCACTATTCGCATGGAGCCGCCAGACAGGTGGGTGGCCACTGCCTTGGCGATGGCGGGCTTCTCGGCCACGCACAGGATTTTTGGGATGGCCATTGATGACTCGAGTCAATGGCACAGGTTCAGCTGCCGTCCATGGTGTCTGTCGAGTGTCTGTCCATCTCGACATTATTATTGCAGAGCAAAGCGAGAGAAGCGCGTTGCGCGCGGGATAGACGCGTGCCGAAACGCGCCAACCAATCGCAGCAGGCGGCCTGATTACATAAGTTTCTGCCTGAGGCCACGATTCTTCACCGCCCGTCGATCTGGTGCGCGAGCCTGTTCTGTGCAGTCGATGGAGGAGAAAATGGAGAATGGGATTGCACGATGGCTGCTGAGAGGATGGAGACTGCCTGGTCGATGGTTGGGACTGATGGACCGGCCAGATGGGGACGACGGCAATACGCGCCATGCAGCCTAAGGGATCTGCACACGCCGCGTGACTAACGCCATTCCTGCGGAGAAAAACAGTCGATCGGCCTCCAGCTCCTCCTCCCTCTGCAAGAATATATCACATAGCAAGAAAAGACACCAGTCGCTTGCGCAGATGGCCCTCCCACTACCGCCGGTGCTGTCGCCGGCCGAGTGTGCCCAATTCGGCCGCAGCTTCGCGCGCGATGTCTTCTCGTCGCAGCTGGCCCGTCTGCCGGGCCGCCTCCTCCACGCCGGCATCACCAAGCCGGACAGCCTGGACAACCTGAAGGAAATCTATGCCAGCACCAATCCGTTCGTGACGGTGCTCGCCGTGGCGCTCGTCCTGTGTCCCGTCTTCGTGGTCGTGTCTGAGATCACCCGCAATTACTCTCAGGTGGACCGCGTCTGGAGCATCCTGCCCGTCGTGTACAATGCCCATTATGCCATCTGGGCGCGTCTGGCCGGCCTTCCGACCAGCAGGTTGGATTCCGTTGCGCTGTTTACCTTGTTCTGGGGTGTACGTCTATTTTCTCAGCCAGAATTTCTTTTTTTTTGTCACTTCGGTTCCACTGACTCACGACAGGCCCGGTTGACCTTCAACTACTGGCGCAAGGGAGGCTACCGGATCGGATCAGAGGACTACCGGTGGGCGGTTGTGCGGTCGTACGCCAGCAGCCGGGCGCGCTTCTTCGTCTTCAACGTGCTCTTCATTGCGTTGGCGCAGTCGCTGCTGCTGTGTTTCATCACCGCGCCGACCTACCTCTTCGTCGTGCTGGCCCAGCTTCCGGACGAAGGCGCCACCACCTTCGGCGTGCCGGACCTCGTCTTCTCGCGGCTGCTGATCTTCTTCGTCTGCATTGAGACCATCGCCGACGAGCAGCAGTGGCGGTTCCAGCGCGCCAAGCACGCGTACCAGAAGGACAAACGCGTGCCGGACGGCTTCGCCGCGGAGGATCTCGATCGCGGCTTCGTCGTCTCGGGCCTGTGGTCATTCTGCCGCCATCCCAATTTCGCTGCCGAGCAGGCCATCTGGCTGACCTTGTACCTCTGGGCGAGCTATGTCACGCACACCCCCGTCAACTGGACCGGGATTGGGGCCCTGAGCTACCTGCTTCTCTTCCAGGGCAGCACTTGGCTGACAGAGTCGATCAGCGCGAGCAAGTACCCGGAATATCGGGAGTACCAGGCGCGGGTTGGGCGATTCATTCCCCGGTTTTCCGTCGAGCCCAAGGGAGTCCCCAAGAAAAAGGACACGTAGGTTGACAGACACAGCCTGTATGTACGTACGTTGTTTGCAAAATTGCCATGTATTATCTGTTTATCCATGTTGTTCTTGTCTAGGCAATGTGTCAGGGGTGCGTGGTGTGTGTCGGAGGGTGTTGAACACATAAAAAGCGAATATCATGTAAATAATACAGATATTTCATACGGAGTATTCTGTCAGAGCTGAAGAAGAGCATATTAAGAGACTAATGACCACGCCGATGAAAAGAATAAGATGGGAATAGAACAGAAAGACAGGCTTCCCCCTATGTTCAAGGGATTTCTATTACCATACTTGTTGCGAGAAGCTATTTCCCCTAAGATCCACAACCTAAACTCCTGGTCAATATCTAAGGCAGGTGACAATCATTCCAGAGCATTTGAGGGGGGATAAAAAAAAAGTACGAAGCAAGCAGCCAAAAACAGCAAGGCTGTTAACAGACGCCAGGTTCCTGAGCTTCAGCATTCTGGCCCATCAAAACCCATCCATTCACGTCTATCAAAAAAAAAAAAGGCCTTCTCCTGCCAGTATGTGTTCACTTTGATGGTCTCTAAGCTCTCAGGTCATCCTGTCTCGCCACGGCAATCTCCACTAACTTAGGTAGAATGAAGCCATGGCTCTTGAATTCAAGACTCTGTATGGACCTATCTAGCCGTAGACAGCAGATCTATACATATCTGACCTCTAATCTCTCTAGAAGCGGGGCGAAGGCTTTGTCTCTACCTTGCGTCCATCTTCAAAGACTCCGGTTGCAGCCTAGCATGGCAACGAGGACGGCATCTTCTCTGTTATCTGATGACGCACTCTTAAGAGGGTGCTTTACATACAGGCTTGCCCGTGGCTTCCACATATCTTTTTTTCTTTGGTCTTATTCTTTGTCCAGAAGCCTTTGCTGTGATCCAGCATCGGTAGGGTCAGGGCAGGGTGGCAGGGAGTGAAGTATGGATATGTGATTCGAACATATTCTTTTTCTTCTCCTTTTTTGCCGCTGTTGATACTACGGAGTAATTCTTTGGTTGTATCTGAGAGATATATATATATGGAAAGGATTTTAGTGTATTCTACTTTCAAATCGAAGGAGTGAACCATGGCAAGAAGATTCGGCAGTATTAAGGGGGCAAAAGAAGAGAGAGAAAAGAAAGTTACTAATGTCATGCATAACGTGAGCGCGACAGCTAAAGTAGAATACAAGAAATATGGGTGAGAGTGGCTCCACATGACTCTATTTTTCCTGCAAAAAAAAGTTCGAGAAGACTAGGTAGATGGATAGATGATAGATGGAGATGCTAGGTAGATAGTTACTACTGTACAGTACAGGGATGATCATCGTAACAAGGCTAAGGCGACAGATTCCAGATATGAGAACGAAAAAGAAAATAGTGGGGAGGGATGAGTTAAAAAAAAATTTCACGCCATATGTATAACATACACCGTCGAAAGAGACTAGATCAAAAGGCAAAAAAAAGCCTATATCGGATGAGGCGTCTGATCCCGTCCGTCTTTGCCCTCCATTCCTTCACGCGTCTCCGGAGGCTCGGGCGGTGCGATCGTACGCCCCTGAGGGGGAACGCCTTCCCCAAAATACTTAGTGAACTCACCGTTCTCGGGCCATGGCCGAGGCCCCAGGAGGCGCACCAGGTCATCCCGGGTGAGGACTTCCTTGGCCAGGAGCTCTTCCGCCACCAGCCCGATCTCCCTCTTCTTCTCCGTCAGCAGGTCCCGGCATTTCTTGTACGCCTCGTCCACAATCCGCCGGACCTCCAGATCGATGTCCCGGGCCGTCTCCTCGGAGAATGGCTTGTGGAGCTGTTGCTGGTCCTCTTCGAAGTAGAGAGTTCCAATCTTCTGTGACATGCCAAACTTCGTCACCATCGCCGTCGCCATGCGGGTGACCTTGTTGAAGTCGTCGCTCGCACCGCTAGTCACCGTGTCGAAGTGGAGCTCTTCGCTCACACGCCCTCCCAGAGTCATGGCCATCCGGTCCATGAGCTGGTGGACAGTAAGCAGGTAATTCTCTCCCGGTGGGAGATACTGGGCGTAGCCCAATGCTGCCTGGCCTCGAGGAATAATAGAAACCTTCAGGAGGGGATCGGCCCATCGTAAGTACCACCCGCAAATGGCATGTCCAGCCTCGTGGTAAGCCACTGTGCGCTTCTCCTCCGGCGAGAGAACTAGAGACTTCTTCTCCAGACCACCAATAACTCGTTCGATCGCCTGTTCAAAGTGCTTCATCACAACGCAATCTGCGTGCTCACGAGCCGCTGCACGAATAAATCAGTTAGCCACTTCATCGTACAAGACCAGAGAATTTGAAAAGGAAAAAAAAAAACGTACCAACTAAGGCTGCCTCGTTGACACAATTTGCAATGTCAGCACCGGCAAAGCCTGGAGTGAGTGCCGCAAGTCGGCCAGTCAGGTAGTCCATATCATCTTTGGTGACGATCTTCTTCAAATGAACCTTGAAGATTTGCTTTCGTCCCTCCATGGTAGGCCGGTCGATGGCAATATGTCGGTCGAATCGGCCAGGCCGCATCAGGGCCTTGTCAAGGACATCGGGCCGGTTCGTACCAGCCAGCACAACGACCTGATCCGTGGTATTGAAGCCGTCCATCTCAGTCAAGATCTGGTTGAGGGTGCTCTCCCGCTCGTCGTTACCACCACCAAAGCTCTGCTTGGCTCTCGATTTACCGATCGCGTCGATCTCGTCAATGAAGATGATACACGGGGTGTTCTTTCGGGCATTGGCGAAAAGATCCCGGACACGGGAGGGTCCGACACCGACAAACATCTCAACAAACTCGGATCCGCTGACGCTAAAGAAAGGCACTCCAGATTCACCCGCCGTCGCCTTCGCAAGCAACGTCTTACCGGTACCAGGAGGGCCCGAGAGAATCGCACCACGGGGGATCTTGGCGCCAAGTTTCTGGAATTTCTCGGGCTCCTTGAGGAAGCTGACGAACTCCATGATTTCCATCTTAGCCTCGTCCATGCCCGCGACATCAGAAAATCGGATCTTGACGTCTGTTTCGTGGTTGAACCGTCTGGCACGACTCTTCCCGATACCGAAGATGCCGCTTTGCCCGGCAGCGCCACCGGCAGCACGCCGTGACAGCCAGAAGAAAGAGCCTATCAACAGAAGCGTCGGTCCGAAAGACAAGAGTGTCGCGAGCCACGGCACTTCATCGACATAAGCAACAGGGATGCGCTGCGAACTGGGGATGCCCAGTTCCTTATGAGCTTCGTCCAGATTGCGCTCGAAAGCCTCAACCGATCCGATGGTGAAGTAGTAGTGGAAGTTTGGTTGAGCAGCTGGAGAGTCAGGATACACGCTAGCAACAGCATCACGGTTCAGCTCAACACGAACTCGGTTGCGGTTGAGGACGGTCAACTTCTCCACGAGGCCCTTGTCGAAAAAGTTGTTCCGGAACTCTTGCCACGTAATCTCTCTGCTGCTCTCTCCCGGGAAGATGCTTCGATAGATGTAGTACGATATAATAGTCGTAATAAGAAAGTTGCCGGGGTCGAGCCTGAACTCAAAGACCTTGGGAGTAGGCCCTTTTGGCGGCTGCCTCTGCTGTTGGTTCTGCTGTTGATCCCGCTGCTGCTGTTCTTGTCGCTGCTGAGACGACCTTTCTTCCTCCTCTCTCTTTGCTTCTTCTTCTCGCTTCATCTGCTGTCTTAGGTCCTCCTGATGCTGCCTTGCCGCCCTTGACAACATAGCATTAAACTTTGCTAATTCTGACAAAGACATTGGTTTCTGCTGCTCGATGTGTTTCTGCAAGAATTCTTCAAGATCGGGAGGAATCTTGCCATTCCGACGGAGTTCGTCTCGGAGTTTTTGCAGCAGCCGGGTTTGAGACGCTGGAAGTTTGTCTTCGAAAAATTTCTCCAACCTGTCGAGCAGACTCTCTTGCCTTTCACTCAACCGGCCCTTGGGCTTCCCAGACTCCTCAGGAGCGCTCCCTTTCTCATCAGACGGCCTATTCCCTGGAGAGGGCCCATGGCCACCGTCTTCCTCCTTCTTCCGTGCTTCCTTCTCACTTTCGTTGTCTTTCGGAGGCTTCGGATCGCCGGGGTTGACGGTGGCATACGACCTCACACGACGCGCATTGAGGAGAGACGCAAGCTGCGGTCGCGAGCGACTCGAGTATGCTAATCGCGAGGAGCTGAAAAGCCCTGCGGTACTCCGCGAGTATCGAGCAAGATTGCCTGGCCGCCAGAGCCAAGTGGCCATGGTCGAAGTAGGATGAGCCCGAAGGCTGCAGGTTCGGAGGGGGGTTAAAGAACGCTCAGTGGGAAGGCGTAAAATTCAGAACCCATATGGACCCGTTTCTTGAAATCCCAGGTGGGAGAAGAAGGGGTCTGGCAGGGGCAAAGAGCTTGTCGTGAAAGCGTGGGATGTTCGCGGCCAGCTACCTGGAGCACGGAAAAATGGGGAGAGCCGACGCCGGCTGTGATTTTTAGGTTCCGCCACCCTGCTGAGTCATCATGCCTCGCCACATAGTTAACTAGTTAGTTACTATTATCAAGCGCCAGACGCCTAGAACCGCCACGACAGCCACAGAACCAGCAGTGAGTCACGTTAGGACCAGATTTTACTTGCATGGCAATACGCGGAGACGTTGGATAGGAGTAGAGATAATTGTGTGTATGTACTCTGTGAATCACTAAATATGGCAACCCTATCTATCAACAAACCAAAGACAGCTCGAATGGCAACGGTGCCTCCAGTCCCATCCTCACCCACCCCAGATATTATGTGCAATCGTGTACATACAAAGGCCTTTATTATATGTATCCTGTAGAGCAGGAACCATACCCACGGGTAAATAAAATGTACAACATCGAACACCCGGAAAGCAACCCGGACGCCTGAGTAGGGGGGAAATTGCCCACATAAACTCCATTTGAAAGCCGAAGAACCAAGTCTTGGTCGATTCATCCCATCATCAAAATAATCTACGACTCGTTGCGCATCATGCCACCAAAGAGATCGCCCTGGTCGAACGTCGGTGGATTCGAAGAAGACATATCCGCCCAATCCCATTCCAGGGTCATGGGCATCTGCCACAAGTCCTGCGGCACAAAGGGCTGTTGAAAACTCATCCCCTCCGTCGCAGCACCGCTGGTTGAATAGGAAGTCTGGTCGGGGAAGCCGGACTGATCCAAACTATTGGGACTGAGGATATTTTGGAAATCGGGGTTAAATTCGGGCATGTCATGTAGGTCCCCTGTCGACACTTCGGGCAGAGTAGTCGTCACCGGATCACTCGGATTCGCTGGAGACGTCATTTCATTCGTTGCTGGATCAAACGGATTCCCATTTGTAGGGTGAGCAAACGATGGTGAGAAGGGAGCTGTCGTTGACGGCGCGGCTGGTTCTTGCGCGGAGGTGACCGGAGTACTCGAGGCTGCCGGTGCGTCGCCAGGCGGGTTCGGTGCATCGGCGTTTTCCGGGACAACTTTGCGTTTCCGTCTTGAATGGGCTTCCTTTTCTGCCTTTTCGATGACCACTTTTGCTATCCTCTCGAATTCTGCACAGACACTGAGCATGCGCTTGACGCTTCCATTGGACTCATCCGAAACAAGCATGGAGAGGAAATTGACGACCAAATCCATGAGTTTGATGTCCGAGCGAGCCCGGGCATCCTGTGGATTCTGAAGGATGTTGGCGAACAGGGTCACAAGGGCGGAGACAGGGTAGTACAAGATCAACCTGGTTGCCGGGGCTGTTAGCGACATTCTTCGGGTTGTGAGCTCGCGAGACTAATTGACGTACCAAACACAGGCAAAATCGCCTTGCGGGATATATTTGATCAGATTGATCGATGCTCTGGCAGCAGTGACGCAGAGTGTAGCTGATGAGAAAACTCGGGGATTCAGCGGCCTTGCATTCAGCCCTTGGATGGCGTAATTGGAGAGGCGACTCGTCCAGTAGCCGTGATGCACTGACATTCGGTGAATTGTCGTCAAGCAGTTGTAATAGGCAAAGTGTAGCACGACCACATGGAGTATCAGTGGAGTATGTGTTGCCTTGATCTCATGTTCCGGTCGGTAATCTATGGGGATGCTCTCCTTCCACTCTTCTAGTTCCTTATCCAGTTCACCGATTGTATTGAGGAGTTCACCATCGGACTGCTTGGCTGCTTTCGTCGAGTAAAGCCGTTTGTATACTTTGCTCTGGATGGTTGCGAACCGGCACATGAGTCGGAATAGATTGACCTTCCCTTTTCCATCCGACAGCGGTATGTTTCCAATGTTGTCAGGCGGGTCTTCACTGGGGAGCTCCACATTCATGTCATCATCATCCTGTACGGGTGGTCGACCAGAACGAAGGCAAATACTGCAAGTGATTTCAGCCAGTTGATCCATAGGTTCAATGATGAGAGTTCAACGTACTCTTTGTCGAGAAGGTAGGCAATCCAAAACACCCTCTTCCGCTGTTCTATTTCGACTGGGTTCAAGCCGAATCCGGAACCACGTTTGTGCAGACCGATACTGTGAGAGAGCCGTATGGCAGCAGCTACAAGGAAAAACGACGGTTGGGGATTGGGAGTTCCCTGTAAGAAAAGGGCCTATCGCAGTGTTAACAAGAAGCTAGCTGAGCAGCTGCTAGGGACGACGAGACTTACCATCCCCAGGAGCGCCTGGACACTTAAGAGATCTGTATTTCGCATCGTGAGCTCCGTCAAGACCCCCATGGCATTCTTCAGATACAGCCAAGCCTTCTTGTCCTCTTCCTGAGGCACTAAATGGCTCATGACCCGGAGCCTATGCGAGATTGCCAAAACCACGTTGATGCTTGCCCACCAACCGGAACCCTCATATGGATCTCGAGAGTATTGTCGCTCGACGAGGTGCATGAAAGTCGGCTCGTGGAAGAGCGGAAACAGGCAATTAAAATTATCGAAGTAGTCTCTGAAAAGCGAAAGGGCCTCGTCTTTGGGAGGTAAGGGCTTGAAGACACGGCGAGCAAATATGTCGCTGAAAATCTCCGGCTTCCAATACATCCATTTATTATCATCTATATAAGCCGACGATATCATGTCCTGGAACGAAGTGTCACCCGTTTTCTCGTTCACCCATTGGATCCCTCTCGGAGAAAAGATCGAGAAGCCCGATGAAGATCCTGGGCAGTGACCTTAGCCAAAGTTACGATACGAGACATTGGGGGGGTGAGACCTACCTATGTACCGAGTCTCGCCACAATTATTCGTCACTAGGGAGCACATCATATCTGACAGCGCTTCAACCTCATTCTCGGACCCCTTCTGCGACTCGGGCGAATCTCCAGCCGCCCGTGGGCTGGGCTGAGAATCGACGCGGGGAGTGGAATGGCTCGATCCGGTGGATTGGTTGGCTGCGGTCGCAGCGCCTGGTTTATTTTGAGCTTTCGCTGCCAATCCATTCAAAGATCTGTCTGCGAGACGCTTCTCTAGCGTCCCGAGATCCGTCTTGCCAGCGTCATCCTCTGACAAGAGACCAGATAGCCTCAATAAGGATTCCATTCTGCCCAGACGGTTCTCCAATCCTTCGATGTATTTGGCCCTGTCGCAAGCTTAGTGAGAGAATCACAACGAACTGGCCGACAAGCTCCATACCCTTTCGGGGGATTGCGCTTCTTCTCCACCTGCGTAAAAACACACTCCGTCTTGTAATTGATGCAATGCGAGCACTTGGGCATCTTGCCATCACACTTGATCTTCTTCTTGCGGCACATGTCACAGGCCTGCGAAGAGCGCTACATCAGCGACAAGAGGGTCTGGGAAGGCCTGTAGAATATATCAATGCGATCTTACCCGCGCAATTCTCCTCCTCTTGGCCTCATTCATTTCATCGCCATTACCGGTGGTAGAGTCCTCTGGAGGTGCAGAACTTGGTTGACCATATTGTTGTTGTGCGGGAGAGCCAGCCGCATTGTAGTTCGCAAACATCGGCCGAGGCTGATTCATCATCGGGGGCATCTCAAACCCCAGACCTTCCGAGTCTCCCCCTATGCCTTCCATTGTCGAGATCGGATTGTGCGCTGCAAACCGAGCTGAACGTGCGGTTTGGTGACAAAGGCGAATGCTCAGTCGGCGGTAAAACCGTACTGCTCGAGAACGGCGGTTCTTTGGCGCCTCAGACGTCGCGCAATGCCGTTCGCATAAACTATCCGTGGAGGAGACCTGGCATAGGGAGCCGTGTACTCAATCCAGGCGGAAAATAAGCCTGAGGGCGTACCTCGACCAGAGCGGAGATAACGACCTTACCTAAGCTGACCAGACATCAGGCAAGGGCAAAGAGCTGGCAGGAAGCTCGGACAGGGGCCACGCAGCCTGCACTCTCAGGAACGACAACCTCCCGTGGAGTCAGCGAGAGGGAGAGCACGAAAAGTGACCACTCTGTCCAGGCAGCAAGCACTGCGGCAATCGTCTAGAAACTGCGGGATGGACGTTTTAGTCCGCTTTCGCCCGCGCCACCTGCACCATCGGCGAGCCGGCGGACGGAGCCAAGCTGCCCCGGCGGGGAAGACGTCAGCAGGCCAGGGAGCCAATCCGAGTGCTTTGCTCCCTGCCGTGATGCCTACACACGGAGTTTTATCAGATCAGTTACCACGGCCGCTCGCTCGCAGCCCCAACTAGTCAGGAACGAGGTTCTCCTGCAAAGCACAAACAATACCAATGACAGCAGATGGCCTGAAGGACTGTGCGGTTGTACGGTCTGCAGACAATAGGATCATTGTGTGGCCAATGAGGATCTCAGTGCCTTGCAAGAAACCTAATTGCTGAAGAATCCCCCGATAAGGAATAGACGTCGGGGCGGGATTAAGCAGGTCCCCGATATCCGTTCTCGGCACTTGCTGGCATGGATGCCTGGTGGTCTAAGTTCAAAGATATCACCACAGAATAAGCTGCGTCTGATTCTTTCCTTCAGATATGAGGTCTTGTGAGATTCCAAAGTGGCAGACAGATCTTCTCTTTTTTTTTTCTGCACTAGGAAAATGTCCACTAAATATCTGCTAGGTCCATGCTTACTATACGGAGTAGAATAGCCACCAGAAGGAATAAAGAAAAGAGGAAAGCAGCAGAGCAGATTTCGACTTGATTTGTGATACACAAACCTCATCTGATTAAGTACATGCACTCGCCCTGCTGATAGACTTAGGGATTGACGGATACTATTTCTGAATCGGAACAATCTTCCAATTGCCTCGACGAAAGATGTTTCTGGATGGTTTCGACAGGTAGGTACGTATCTTCAAAAATCACGATTTATTTCTCGTCATCCCCTGCGTATGTCGTGCCATTTGTAGAGAAGATATCCGAAAATGTAGGCTAAATATTGGAAGAGAAAGGCACAAAAAAAGGCATGAGATGTTGCCCGAACAAGACATAAAAAGCTCACATACTCGTGG